CAGTCCCTACAGTACCTACAGCATCTACAGCAGGCCCTACAGTACCTACAGTAGTCCCTACAGAACCTACAGCAGTCCCTACAGTACCTACAGCAGTCCCTACAGTACCTACAGCATCTACAGCAGTCCCTACAGTACCTACAGTAGTCCCTACAGAACCTACAGTACCTACAGCAGTCCCTACAGTACCTACAGTACCTACAGCACCTACAGCAGTCCCTACAATACCTACAGCAGTCCCTACAATACCTACAGCATCTACAGTAGTCCCTACAGAACCTACAGTACCTACAGCAGTCCCTACAGTACCTACAGAACCTACAGTAGTACCAACAGGTCTAGAGAAACATGAGTACTATCACTGTTTCAGAAGTGTGGTACCAACCTGGTACGAAAGTTTAGGTACTTGTGACAGTTTTAACATCAGGTGTGTTGAACTGTACCTGATACCTGCGGACCACCTCAGCCTCCATCTGGACCCCCCAGGACATGGCTCTGGTCTGGACGCTCCGCCCCTCACCTGTCAAGAACCAATTTACTTGATTTACAAATAGCCAGTCCATCTTATTTTAGTGATTTATTTTTGTTACTTCTTATTCAGAGCCTGTTACAGGGGGCATGGCGATGTGATTTGGGGCAGGGCGTACCTGTGATAGCAGTCAGGTATGAGGTGGGTGGGGTTGGGCTCTTGCCGTTGCTGAAGCGACAGTGAGCAATGCGATGAGCCACGGAGGCTGTGATCCGGTTCTTCCTCCAGGCGAACCAGTCCTGGTTGGAACTCTGTCCACGAGTCAGAACCTCCACTTTCTCCACAACACCCCTGTCCAACTGGACCCCCAGACCCAGAGGGACCTGCTCCGGTGTGAGAGGGCCTCCCTCCGGGTCCAGATCTGCAGCATCTCTCTGAACCAGCTTCCTTATGGCTTTCTGAGCACTCTGTCTCTGTCCGCCAGCAGGTGGCAGTCTCACACCAGGACCTAGATCAACCTGAGGGCTCCTGGTCTGAGGGACCCCCTTCTGAGGGATCCCAGTCTGAGAGCAGCGGACAGCTGCTGCTCTGGTCTTCTGGGCCGGGCTGGTTCTGGGTTTGTCTCCGGGTGTCTGGATGCTCGGGTGGTATCGGACTGTCGGGATGACAGTTTTCTGCTTTGTGTTCTGATTCTGCATTTTTCACGTCACCTACATCAGAACAGGAAACATATGACGTACAATAAGTTTGTTCTTTAGCGCAAACGAGAAACAGGTCATTCCAGTACCACATGTAGCCTACTGCACCACTTCACTGCAGCATGGTTTTCATGTTCTTTGTGTTTTTACTGATTTATTTTTTTAAATTTCTCGTTGGTGTTTTTATACTTTAAATCCTGACTACATCAGAGTCCTCCTTGAATATTTTCAGAATTTTTACTTTCATGTTTGTTGTTTAAAAAAAAAAGGTCGAACACAAATTCGTCGATTGGGGCTTTTATTTTGAAAACCTGTAAAGTGACGGTCGGATGTTGTTGTTTAACCCTCCTTCTAAATCAGGAGTACACAGGTGGGCGTGTCTTCTGTTGTTTTTCACTTTAAAACCGTTTCTTACAACATCCTGAACACCGACATCTATAAACTCAGCACCAAACTCCAGTCAAAATGTGTGTGAAAAAACAAACCCATCATTTAAGGACCGAACAGTGACGTCAGACCAGCTGTTTCGGTGTTTACCGGGTTGTTCGGAGCCGTTAACGTGTTCGGCACCAACCTCATGGAAGCAGCAGCACGTATTCAAATGGCATTCTGTGATTTTTGGAGCTGCCCGTCGTGGTGCTCCTCCCGCCAGATGGATCGCTGTCAGGGTCCCTGAGTGAGCAAGTCAACCCAACCTGAAGGTTTTCATTACGTCATTCGAAGCCGAATTCTTCAGAATATTTACATTTCTTGAGAGACTGTGTCAAACAGCTGCGATAACCAGGCAGTAATTACAGGTGAGGAAGGAAACGTTAAAGTGCGACATTTATGAATGAGGTTTGGTGAAAACTTGTTGGAGCGTCTCCCGAATGAATCTTAGCGCAGCTTGTTTTAATTTCCAGTTTGTGTAGTTGGTATTAAATAATTCTTATTTTCACTCTGACAGTCCGGATGAAAATAACTTAAACAGAGACAAACAGAAGTAACAGAACAGATCTCACCTGAACGGTTGGAGTGTGTCGGAGCGAAACCTGAAGTGAAACTGAGCGGATTGAGTGAGTGTGACTCATGACCTCGTGACAGATGGAGTGTGTGTGTGTGTGTGTGTGTGTGTGTGTGTGTGTGTGTGTGTCCGGGCATGTTCTGTCTGATTTAACTCATTAAAGGAAAAACTGGATTCGTTCCTTTAGAGACACTGTTTTTTTTTCACATTGATCACAACAAAGTATGTCGGATATAAAGAACCGTCAGAGTTCCTTTGAAGGTCCACAGTACCGCTCTGAACAAATGACGTCACTAAACTTGCGGCACACCTGATGGCCGACCTCACCTGTCTTTGTATTTTTCCGACTTCACAGAAATGATTTTCAGAAATGTGTCAGAATTAATAAAGTGAAAGTTTCAGTTAAAACAGAACACGTGTTTATTGTGTCGTTTGACATCTGTGGGGCCTTTGTGTCTCTTTGCAGTTGTTTTGCATCTCTTTGTAGTTGTTTTGTGTCTCGCTGCAGTTGTTTTGTGTCTCTTTTAAGTTGTGTGTCTCTTTGTAGTTGTTTTGTGTCTCTTTGTAGTTGTTTTGTATCTCTTTGAAGTTGTTTTGTGTCTCTTTGTAGTTGTTTTGCATCTCTTTGTAGTTGTTTTGTGTCTTTTTGTAGTTGTTTTGTGTCTCCTTGTAGTTGTTTTGTGTGTCTTTGTTGTTGTTTTGTGTCTTTTTGAAGTTGTTTTGCATCTCTTTGTAGTTGTTTTGCATCTCTTTGTAGTTGTTTTGTGTCTCTTTGAAGTTGTTTTTCATCTCTTTGTAGTTGTCTTGTGTCTTTGTTGTTGTTTTGTGTATCTTTGCAGTTGTTTTGCATCTCTTTGTAGTTGTTTTGAGTCTCTTTGAAGTTGTTTTGTGTCTCTTTGTAGTTGTTTTGTGTCTCTTTGTTGTTTTGTGTCTCTGTTGTTGTTTCACGTGTCTTTGTTGTTTTACATCTCTTTGTAGTTGTTTTGTGTCTCTTTGTAGTTGTTTTACATCTCTTTGTAGTTGTTTTGCGTCTCACTGCAGTTGTTTCACGTCTCTTTGTAGTTGTTTTGCATCTTTTTGTAGTTGTTTTGTGTCTCGCTGCAGTTGTTTTGCGTCTCTTTTAAGTTGTTTTGTGTCTCTTTGTAGTTGTTTTGCATCTCTTTGTAGTTGTTTTGTGTCTCCTTGTAGTTGTTTTGTGTGTCTTTGTAGCTGTTTTGCATCTCTTTGTTTTGTGTGTCTTTGTAGTTGTTTTGTGTGTCTTTGTAGCTGTTTTGCATCTCTTTGTAGTTGTTTTGTGTGTCTTTGTAGTTGTTTTGTGTCTGTAGCTGTTTTGTGTCTGTAGCTGTTTTGTGTCTCCTTGGTTGTTTTAGATTTCTTTGTTGTGGTTTTTGTTTCGTTTGTTTGAATTTATTTATATTCTGTTTATTTTTCTATCAGGTTTTATTTGTGTATTTATTTATTTATTCATTTATTCCAGCATGTATTTGTTTTTTTATTAATGCATTTATGAATTTATTTCAGTATTAATTTATCTATTAATCATTTTATTTTTATATTGTCATTTTTTTTAATTTTATTTATTGATACTGAGGTTGTCTTTGGTCCTCAGTGATGGACACATTTAGTATAAAGCAGGCTGTCATGAATATTCTAGAAAATAATCATAGTAAAAATATAAATATTAATGATTTGGTCATAATACAAATAAAATATTTAATAGTATTAATATAGTATTATAGTATTTCATAATCCTAACAATGTCTGAATGGTTGCTGGGCGACAGAGCAGCCAATCACAGCTCCTGATCCCTTGACATTGACTGATAGGCGCTGTGTCATGAATCATCAGTGGATCCTCACAGATCAGAACAATAAACATTTATACTTCATTATTAATACAAAGCCCTCGTCACTTCAAGCTGGAGCCGATCAGTCGATCGATCGAACGATGGGTCTGTGGTGCTGACTGTGTCTCTGTGTGTGCGCCCTCAGTACTGTCTCACAGGTAAAGGTGTTGTGGTGTCCCCCATCAGGTCATGGCTGTCTCTCAGGTGTCTCCTGGTCTGTACCTCAGCGGTCTGGACCCGGCCCTGAACCTCAGTGTCCTCTCCAGCAGGAACATCACGCTCATCATCAACGCCAGTGGGCTGGAGGACGTGTCCTACCCTCAGCTGGACGGACTGCTTGTCCTCCATGTCCCCGTCCAGGATCAACCTCACGCGCCCCTGAGAAGCCACTTTGACCCCGTGGCTGAACGGATCCACCAGAACCGGTCAGGAGGGACTCTGGTCCACTGCACCGCCGGCAGGAGCCGATCGCCCGCTCTGATCATGGCCTACCTGATGAGGTAACCCAGCAGCTCCCTCACCTGGCAGAGGCACTCACCTGTGATGGATCACGTCCAGCGTGTCCTTTTGTTCATACGTGTTTCCATAGATACACAACAATTAGACCCCGCTGTATGAATGAATCAAGAAATGCATAAATAAATAAACACAATAATTAATACACAAATAAAAACAATAAATATATTAAGATAGTTATTTATGCATTTACTAATTATTTTATTTATTTCACAAACATTTATTAATCATTTTATTCATGTCAGCGTATATTATTTTATTTGTTTCCAGCATTATTTAGTTGAGCATTCATTAACTATTTCATTTATTTCAGCGTGTTATTTATTTCCAGCAGTTGTTGATTATTTCAGTTTATTAGTTTAGCATTTTTATTTATTTAATTGAGCATTAGTTTATTTATTCATTTCTGCATTTATTATCTTTTTAGTTCCACATATATTAATCTTTTTATTCATTTTAGTGTATTTTTTTGTTTCTAGCAATTATCAGTTATTTTAATTTGTTCAGCATTTAATTTTTTTCAGCATTATTTATTTATTTATTTGATCATTTAATTATTAAGCATTTATTTTTTTCCAGCATTTATCAATTATTTTAATTTGTTCAGCATTTGATTTATTTTTTCACAATTTTTTATGTAGTTTGTGAAGCATGTTATTATTTTAACATTTATTTTATTCTTTACTCTGGCATTTAATACGTATTTCATTTTTTAATTTGTATATTGATGGTATTAATTTCTTTATTTGTTGTCTATGGTATTGGACCCAGTCAGTAATCCAGTCATGTTGAGGAACATCTGATAACTTCTGGGGGGTATTCCAGAAAGTGGGTTATGTGAAAACTCAGAGTGTATTAACCCTGAGATGAGGGAAACTCTGAGTTATCTGTTCCAGAAAGAGAGGTAACTGAAACTCTGAGTCAGTCACCATGGTAACAGACTCTGTGAACATAACCTGCTCGCTGACAGGTTTTCTTCAATAAACCCTGAGTGTTTCTCTGTCTCCTCCCTCTTACACGCTGTTTCATTTCCTCATTCATTCAGTCTGTGTCAAAGCTTGTATGGAAGCGCATTCATTAGCGGAGATTTACCGTCTGTCACAGTCTAAATCCTGCTGGATATTAGTTTGTTACTCAGGACTGTCTTAAGTTGCTGAATTTATGCACATCAGTCATTTCTTTGGACATCAGTTTTTGTCTTTACATTCAAATATTACACAGCGAGAATTCACCCTCAGCTCAGAATCAAACCTCTGTCCTTTTTATATTTATTATTTTTATAACACTGTGCACAAGGATCAGACTGTCAGTCTGTCAGAGCAGCTCCCAAATGTTTATTGCACATAATGTGTAGGTCTAATTATTTAAATTTTAAAAATGGGTATGAAGCTTTAGACACGTAGTATCAATGACTAATGATCTCTGTCACTGATGTCACTGGTCGCACTGATGGAACATAATTCCTATAGCCTAATATTGGGGATTATATGTTCATATTTCTGAGTGAGCAATGGTGCAGCATTTCACTGTCTTTAAATTTACTACATTTGTAGCTGAAATAAAGTCACTGAATGCTGTTGAGTCAAGATACAAATAGATGTGCAACATTTTAAAATCTACTGTATTTTAACCTCAACGTCTTTTCAAGTGCAAATCACCAAACATATTATTACTGGGTCAGACTGTGAGTTTACAGTCATGTCTTTATGTCTTTGATCTATAGCCTAGCCTATATGTTTTAAATCTTCTGCCTCCTGTGTTTTTCCCCATCAGATTAAATCTGAACAAATATATTATTATATATTATTAATATAATGTAATGTATCTACAGCCTGATACACAGTCAGATTCCACCACTTTATCTTCATTAAGGAAATGTAAGTCTGATAAATGATGAGTAAACTTTTTTATTAACTTTATGGTTAACTTATTGACACTTTCCTCGCTCTGACTCAGGCTCTTTTTTTAAAGATAAACGTGCACCGTCTGCTACACATGCATTAATATCTCTACATCCACTGGATTAAAATGGAGGCGCTGTCTTTTATTTACCTGTTGCCATGGTGAATCGTGGAGTCGGAGCTCCATTGATGATGGCTTTTTATTGTCGGCTTAACTCAGAGTGAACATACTCAGAGTTGACTGAACTAACTCAGATCAGCTGTTCTGGAACCGGTAACTCAGAGTTTCCCATCTCAGAGTAAATCAACTCAGAGTTCAGGGTTAGACTCAGAGTTTGTTGAACCTCCTACCTGGAATACCCCTCTGATATTTTACACTGTGTTGCTCGTACCTCACACTCTGACTTGTAATCGAGTATCAGTACTGTGCAATCCGATTACCTGCAGTACTGTAGTGAAGGACGTGTTTGGTGTCTGTGTGCAGGTTCGAAGGTCTGAGCCTCCGTCAGGCTCATGAAGTCCTTCTGGCTCGGCGTCCATTCGTCCGACCCAACGCTGGTTTCTGGAGGCAGCTGATGGACTATGAGAGGACACTATTCGGCAGGAACACCGTCAGGATGGCGAAGACGACCGTCGGCGTCCTGCCTGAAGCTCTGGAGGACTCTGAGGATGCAGCGTACTGTGTCAACGTCTGACGGCTCCTCAGAGTTCAGGAAGGAGCTGTCAGAGAATCAGACCTTAAACAAAGTCGATCTTCATCTTCATCTTCATCATCGTGATCAAACCTACAGATAAGTGCGTCTCTAATTTCTGTACCTGTCCCACTTCCTGTGTGGCTCTCAGCTGTTTCCTGCTGAAGATGCTTCAAAACACAAATACACTTTCAAAAAAGACTCAGTCATGAAGTCTGTTTCTTTACACATCACAGGATAACTGTGGGTTGTTAACAACAACAACAACAACAACAACAACAACAAGAGAGGACAGAAAAAATCCCGCCAAAATAAGAGCAGAACTGGAATCAGAACCTTTAAAAACAGACCACAGCAGACCAGTAAAAAAAAAAAAAACGTTTATTGTGACAGTAGCAGGAAGTGTTCAGCAGAGTTTCCTCATGACCACTGTGACACCTGAGTGATGTCATCACATTACATGGTCAGGATCAGTCAGTTCAGTTCAGTCGTCCTGGACACCAGCTGATGAAGCAGACGGAGGTCCAGGTAAGACTGAGGGTGAAGTCCAGCAGGAGAAGCAGAGTCACAGACAGCAGTCCAGGTCCTGGTCTCAGTACTGGAAGCTTCTCTTGGTTTGGATGTCATCCAGGATCTGCTGCAGCTCCTCGTCCTCAAACCGACCCTCCAAACTGAAAACACAAACACTTCAGTCACCATGGTAACTGGACCCGGCTCTGATGACGTGATTTAGGCCGTGGTAATATAATTTGGCCATCATCTGCATCATCATACCCCCGTCATAACCCCATCATACCCCCATCATACCCCCGTCATAACCCCATCATA